ATATATATATATATATATATATATATATATATATATATATATATATATATATATATATATATATATATATATATATTTCAATTCAAGAATTCACATTTAGATAATGCTTGACTGTAATAGCAGGTTTGGCATGCTGTCCCGGGAGAGAACCCTGAGCTCGGAGATAGATGAGCCCAAGGTCCCCGCGTCTGGTCAATGAGCATTAGGAGGGATACGAGATCAGGTATTTTTTGAGAGCCCCCAGTTCGTTTCTTACCTATAATTTGGTTAATACGGTGGTTCTAATTGATTCAGTATGTATGCGTTAAGTGCGTGTTACTGTTATTACAACTACAATAGGTTTTAGACTGTAGGAGGAAACCGGAGCACCCGAGGAAAAACCAACGTGAACACGAGGAGAACATGCAAACTTCACACAGGGAGTGCCGACTGGCTCGATTAGAACTTGAACCATTGGCCCTCCCGCTGTGAGGCAGCAGCACCAGCCACTGAGCCTCCGTGTCACCCGAACATAGAATTGTGGAGGAGGGAGAAGGGAAGGATAGAGAAGGGGGGTTTTCAAAACGAAGATATGGAATGAAGTTTAGGCAGAATATTTATAGTAATTCTGGAATGATTTAATAGGCTGGCTAATGATTAGCGATGAGGATCAGCTGTAGTCAATCATATCATGTGCTCCTCTCGAAATTAGTTTGTAAAACGTTACCTAACATGGAAAGCGAGTGCATGTTTTTTTACCAAAACTATTATTGAATTTTTGTTAAGGGCGTGTAAAACAATATAATTTGCACAAAAATTAATTAACATGTAGTTAATTAACTACCCCCCACCCCCCTACACACACACCCTTGTTTAAAGCATCATTATGGATGTTATACGTTAACTAACGTGTTTCTACTGATGGATCTGCATCAAAGCAACTATGGCAGGCATGTCCAAACTCAGTCCTGGAGGGCTGGTGCCCTGCATAGTTTAGCTCCAACTTCCTCTAATACACCTGCCTGGAAGTCTAGTATACCTAGAAAGACCTTGATTAGCTGGTTAAGGTGTGTTTAATTGGGGTTGGTACTAAAATATGCAGGACACCGACCCTCCAGGACCGAGTTTGGACACCCCTGAACTACAGCTTTGGGAAACACTCGTCACTACATTGTTCTTTCCTCATACAATGCATCGTACTATGATAATTCAGTCGCGATTTACGTTGTTGTTTAGGAAACGCACCCCAGGATGTTCCTACATTATTAAGTAAAACTGAAACTAGAAGCATATTAAAATAAATAAAGGCAACATAATGAGCAATTGACTCACTGCAGTCCTGCTGGTCGTATTTTCCTCCTCCTTCAGGGCCCTGACCTGAAGACAACCTGTACAGATCCTCCATCGACTGCACACACACACACACACACACACACACACACACACACACACACACACACACACACACACACCTTCATAAGAGAAAATGAACACAACCTGTTTCAACTGATGTGCACTAAAGCACTGTAAACACACTTGATGTAGTGTTTGCGGCTGAGGTCAGCATCAGACACATGCGGTGAGATTGTAGTTTAATCACTTCCTCCTCTGAGGCATGTTGGGTACATTTGGATTTTCTGCTGCAGTATTACTTCATCTTATAGTAAATGACAATAATATTGAAGAGCCACTTATTGGATTAAAACTCTGCCTGTTTTGTGCCAGAAAACATACGTTGCTTTTGTTTGTCAGCTTGTAGTGACACCAAATCCATTTTATAGCTCATTTTCTCGACTGATATTGAAATCTCAACACTCATCCACAGCTCCATGGTAAAATATGTTGACGTATTTAGGGAAATGTGTCTTGTGGACAGCTGAAATGATTGATTCATCAGCGGTGTTATTCTAAGAAATGTGTCTTGAAGAATCACTTCAGCAGAGAGTCTGTAAAGAGGTGTGGAGGAAACTAAACGCTTACGAGACAACACAGGAAACGGCCCACACACAAACACACACACACACACACACACACACACACACACACACACACACACACACACACACTCACCCTGCTCTTCTCAGTGGGTGGCAGGGACAGTAGAGTAGTGCTGTCAATCTCTCCCATCAGCAGCTCTGAAACACTGATGGCAAGAGAAAACACTGATCAGAAATAAACAAACACACACACACACACACACCTCTCAAATTAAATCAAGCATATAAAGTGAATATGGAGCAGCTCAAACTGTGGTATGTGTACCACTTGTGCTACGCAGGCTTCCTTCTATTGGTATGCAGAGGAATCGCTGAATAATTAAAGAAAAAAAATGAACACAATTTTATCCCTTTAACGTGTACGATAACACTGACGTGATCAGTAAACTGATTCTAATAGGCTAAACTTTTTATTTTATTTTCAATTGTCTGATGTGTTCTATCATTTGAAGCTAATTTTCTTCCCCATATTTGCAACGGTTGTTGTGGGCGTATCCCGTATTTATTTATCCCAATGTAGACAGGTACAGTTCAATCACTTGCTTTTCTGACACACAAAACCTACTCTAACCCACAGTAAGCAGATCTAATTTCTCATTTGAATATTTAAATCCAATTTGAATATTTAAAATGCACGCTAATGTTTATATTTAAAAGATATACAAATAAGTCATATATACATGCAACTTATATTTCAAAAATTATCAAAAAGAGTTGATGAATATGATGACATACAGTATAGCCTATATTTATGAGGTCCAAACAACATTTCCAGGTTTTGATAAATAGGCTACTTTATGATAATACTTTACCTTTAAGTACAGCAGTTGTCTTTTTACTTTTTAAGAACAGTGCCTTTTTTAGTAACTTTTAAAAGTACATTTTAATTTAAACATTAACGTTTTATTTATTTTTTTTACTTGAAAGCGCATCAGTGCTAATGTTCAAACTATTTATAATGGTTAAAGAGGCTGACAATAATAAATATTCATAATAATAGTAATTAATCTGCCTAGTTTTTGAACTGTGCAGAGCTTTAGCTGCTTAATTAGGTCAACTACGCTACTGTATTTCAATACCGGTCAATATGGTGGTACTTGAAGAGAATTTTTTTCTGAGGTGGTACTTGGTGAAAAATGTTTGAGAACCACTGGCCTAGAACATTTTGACATATTTTACTTTGAGTTTATATTGATATCACAGCTTATTTTCTTGCATTTATTTTAGCTCAGTATGTAAGACCATTGAGTTATTGAGACTTCAAGACAGAACCATGGAAGATATTAAAATAAGTTTGATCTTATCATCATTCTAAGATAAAATCAGCATCTGCAAAACAGTCAAGCTTTCATATTAGAGAGTCTTGAGACTCCAAAGAGACAGGAAAAAAAAAACAGGTTTACATTTATTCAAGTTACAGAGCCAGCAATAATCTAAATTTAGAGAGACGCTACAATAATTTATATACGCTGGAAAAATAAGTGACATATATCATCTATTGCTGTTGCATTTGCAGGTATTTGATTAAAAGCACCTGTTAAAAACATAAAAAAGAAACAAATATTATTATTAGTAACCTTATTTGCTAAATTTTAAAATAAATCATATAATTAAATAAAAAATATATTTTTAAAATATAAGGTAATATGTTTACTCAATATTTTATTTAGATACAATTACAATTTAAAATTGAATTAGTGATAATAATAAATATAAATGCAGATATTCATTCATTAATTTTCTTGTCAGCTTAGTCCCTTAATTAATCCGGGGTCGACACAGCGGAATGAACCGCCAACTTATCCAGCAAGTTTTTTTACGCAGCGTTTTTTTTTATGCCCTTCCAGCCGCAACCCATCTCTGGGAAACATCCACACACACACACACTCATACACTACGGACAATTTAGCAGCGGATGCCCTTCCAGCCGCAACCCATCTCTGGAAAACATCCACACACACACACACACACTCATACTCTACGGACAATTTAGCTTACCCAATTCACCTGTACCACATGTCTTTGGACTGTGGGGGAAACCGGAGCACCCATAGGAAACTAACGCGAAGGCAGGGAGAACATGCAAACTCCACACAGAAACGCCAACTGAGCCGAGGTTCGAACCAGCGACCCAGCGACCTTCTTGCTGTGAGGCGAACGTGCTACCCACTGCGCCACTGCCTCGCCCAAATGCAGATAACAGCATTTTATTTAATATTATTTACTCATTCATTCACCTTCGCTTCAGTCTCTAATTCAGGAGTTGCCACAGTGGAATGAACTTTTCCAGCATATGTTTTACACAGCGGATGCCCTTTCAGACGCAACACAGTATTGGGAAACACCCATACACTCTCACATTCACACACACACACTCATACACTACAGCCAATTTAGTTCATCAACTTCCCAATAGCGCATGTGTTTGGACTTTAACCGGAGCACCTGGAGGAAACCCACGCCAACACTGGGAGAACATGCAAACTACACACAGAAATGACAACTGACCCAGCCAGGACTCAAACCAGCGATCTTCATGCTGTGAGGCGACAGTGCTAACCAACTAGCCACCGTGCCACCATATATTATTATTTCATTTATATAATTAATTATATATTTTAAAAGTAATTACGTAATTATATTTAATTCAACTATATGTTTAACCTTTAATAATATAAACAGGCAGGAGGTGAGTGTGCAAAAACATAAATGCAAATTTGTTTCAAATACTATTTACAAAGTATATTATATTACAATTGAATTAATTATATTTAATACATCAACATTTTAACATGTAAATGAGCACATAATGAGTGTGCATTAATATAAATGCATATATTTATTAAATATAATTTCTTAAATATATACACACACACACACATATATATATTTATAATAATTATTTATAATAATTATATATATAATTATATATATATATATATATATATATATATATATATATATATATATATATATATATATATATATATATATATATATATATATATATATATATATATATATATATATATATATGTATATATATATATATATATATATATATA